TTTAGACTCCAGATCGAGCCTCTGTCTGCCACTGGCCTAGTGGCTCAGCTTCCGTGTGCTCACCGCGCAGTCCGTCCTCAGTCTCTGGCCGGTAACTGAAGCCCTGCTTCAAGCTGCTGCAGGTCGAGGCCACCTGAGAGCACCACTACAAGACACATGGACTCCTCACCCCATTTAGAAACAAAACACATGACAACTACAGCCCGAAGTAGAAGTAAGAGAATTGAGATGTGCAAAGGGCTCCCTTCGTGTCAGCTAGTGTGAATTTCAAGGTGAAAACATGCGTGAGAGCGAAAGGAGGATGGAGATTTTGCATCCAGAAGGGATTTTGAAACTCGGAATACCTTTCCTAACTGTATTAAACAAGAAAAGAGTCGTTTCTGCTGTTTGCAAATTAAGAACACAATTCCAGATATCAGTGGCCTCCCTACTCCCCACCCTCATCATTCCCAGCAGAAAATAGAAACTATTTGGGAAATGTGATAAGAAAAGTATTACAGAACAAAACCAGACTTGACAGGATAAGAACAAGAAGGTAGACAAGCATGCAGAAACACTAAAGACCGGGGATCTCATTCTTCAACTCAAAAAACCTGGAAAGTGACAGCAAATTCAACCCAAAACAAAGGGTCTAAAACAGAAACAGCAGAAAATGGAATGGGGATGCATTGCTATGTGTTGGGTGGAGGTTCCTGTAGCCAGGGGTGGGGCTGCTAGATGGACTGGGGAAGCCCAGGCACCCCATGGTGGGGGTGCTTTGGCGTTCAGCTGGCAGAGTTGTGTCAGCAGGATTCTGCAACCTTGTTCTGGGGAGCAGGGTCAAATGCCCGGATCTGTAAACACTGATCTGAGGCCAAGTCTAGGGCTCTAGCCCCCCACCACCCTTGACCTGCCCAACTTTGTAGAACATTCGATACTCTCCGTGTTCTGCCCAGAACTTCGGGGACCGACCCCCCCTCCGCAAGCCCCTGAACCACTCCCCCCTACTCCTTCCATCCTCTTGTCCAGAGCATCTATAATATTTCATCTCCCTTTTATGCCCAGATCTTCTGGAAGTTTCCCTATGGCAACCATATCTTGCCCCATATCTGGAAACTTCCCAGTTGTGTTTGCTCAGGTTACTGATGTTCCCTGTGTCCTTGGCTTCGGCTTAGACCGTCTGGGACATTTTCCACCACACCCTTCCACCCCTGCTCCCCCATGTCCTGCCTGGCCTTATGGAACCTTCTCCAGGGTCTGTGTTCTTTGAAGACCTTCTGGGGCCTTCCTTGAGATGCCTCCTGCCAAGAACTCTGGATCCTTCCTGTAGTCCCATATCCTTCCAGACTTTGGAACTTCCTACCCACACCTCCAACCCCGTGTCTTGCCCAGACCTCTTGGAAATTTGCCTGCCCCTGTGTCCTGCCCAGACCTTCTGGACATGCAGGCCTTCACCGAGCCCTAGAACCTAGGCATTAACCTCCACATCCTCAGCAGACCTGCTTTCCAGTTTCCCTTCACAGTAATCATCACGGGATCTTTCCACTCTTCAGCCTCTCATCCTATTTGAAACAGTTTTCTTTAGTGCATATGATTGTCTAGTTCAGTCCAGATACAAAGTGTATTACGATGCTACCATCTTCTGATATGTGTTCTCATTCATTCAGTATAATCTTGCTAGCTAGTCCTTCTATTTTCGGTCATCCTTCTTACTGTGTGTCCTGCAGTAATTCTGTCCACCATCATTAGAAATTCAGTTGTGTGATTGTAAGCAAAGGGCCATGTTCTCTCTGTTCATACTTACTGAGTTAAGTATGTGAATGAAAGGTAAACCTTTGTTTATGTCACTCATAAAATTCCATAGGGTGAATGTCCCACTTTCTGAAAATTGGAGTTGATGTATGATACCACTTCAGTTACAGGTGTACGTTATAGTGACTGAAAATTTTTAAATGCATAGTCCGTTCATGGTTACTGTAAAATATTGGCTCCATCCTCCATCCTGTACAATATATGTCCCTGTAGCTTATTGTATGCAGAAGAGTCCCCCACCTCTATACTGCCCCTCTCTTTCCCTCTCCCCACTGGAAACCACTGGTTTGTTCTCTATATCTGTGAGTTGGTTTCTTTTTTGTTGTAATCACAAGTTTGTTTTATTTTTCAGATTCTGCATATGAGTGACAACAGTATTTGTCTTATTCTGTATGACTTCTTCTCTAGCACAATGGCCTCCAAGTGCATTCATATTATTGCACATGGCAAAATTTCATTCTTCTCTATGGCTGAGTAGTATTTCCCACATAGTTCTGGTGGCTCAGATGGTAAATGCATGCTCCTGCAATGCAAGAGACCTAGGTTTGATCCCTAGGTTTGGAAGATGTCCTGGAGAAGGGCATGATAACTCCAGTATTCTTGCTTGGAGAATTCGCCTGGTGGGCCTCAATCCATGGGGTGGAAAAGAGTCGGACGTGACTGAGTGACTAACACTTTCACTTTCTATATATTCTATATAGATTATATATAGATATATATATTATACCTGTATATATATACATATATATTTCTATATGTTCATGTATATCCACTAGTGTGCATATATACATATATGGAATTAGACACATCTTCCTCATCTAATTCTCTGTTGATGGACACTCACACTGCTTCTATATCTTGGCAGCTGTAAATAACGGTTCTTACATCTTCCTAATTAGTGTGTTTACTTTTCTCAGATATGTACCCAGGAGTGGCAATCTGGCACATCCTCATCTTATTCTGTTGCACACAGACTGTTTCGAACAGCATGGACCTTACAGATGCTGAGGTCTGTGGGGTCGAGTGCATCAAGAAGGGGGCCCCCGCCTCCTTGCGGAGATGTTCCGGTCTATCCTGGCTGGGCTCACACTGGAGTTGGCAGTCCACTGCTGTCAGGGGACAGCAAAGAGTTCAGATATCCGGGCCAGAGGATCCTGGGGCTCTATCTGCATGCGCAGGTTGAGGCAGGGGCTAGTCCACTGGGGTTCCACTGAGTCCCCCAGCTCAGTGAAAGAGGGGAAGGAGCCTGAGAACTTTACTGGGGCTCAGGCTCTGAGCCTTGAGTGGGGATAGGAAGGACCAGGTATGACGTGTGGAGAAATCGGAACCCAGCACGCGGGGGAGGAGAAGGGTTCTTTCTGATGGGAACAGCCTGATATGGGTACCAGGGCTCCCGGGCACTGGTCTTGCCCTGGGACGCCCACTGAGCGGTGCTCTTCTCCGCAAGACCCTGGCCTGGCCCCACCGGGGGAGACCATCAGGGCAGGGGCTCCCGTGTAACAGGCTTTCAGCCCCTTCTGGGGCTGGGCTGGGTACTCAGGACAGCTGTGCCTCAGGGCAGGCAGCCCGGCTGGCTGGCCCTCAGGACAAGAGGAGGCTTGCAGGGAGGGGCTGCCAGGCCTATGCGGGAGGCAGATCCCCACCTTCGGCGACGTGGGGATCAGGGGCCCTGAGAGCGCTCTCGGGTCTTCCTCTGTGAGGAGTCATTGCGTGAAGATTCCCCTGGGACCTGCACCCTGCTCTCAAGCTTGGGAGGCCTAGGAGGTACCGAGAGCTCGGCACAAGTTCAGGAGCCTTTGGTGCTAGTGCAGGCGGAGGGCACACAGGCAGGAACAGGTTCAGGAGGCTGGCCAGGGTGGCCTGGGCCGAGGCAGAGGCACCCCAAGGGCCGGCTGGGGCTCCAGGCTGCGTCTCAGCCCGAGGACAGCTCTTACGCCACCTGGGGCTGAGGCCCACTGTGCATCTCGGCTTGATGAGGGACCTTGGCAGGTCTGACTCATGGCCACAGCTGAATATCCCCCAGGAAGTGTCAAGAGAGGGAATGAGTGAAAGTAGAAGGGCAAGTAACACTCAGATCTTCAGCCACCCTGCTATAAGCTCCGCACGCTCCCTGTCCTACCTCCAGCGCCTGCACGGCGGTGTCTTCAGGGCACCATCCCCAAATCAGGCCCGGGGTTCCAGGGCACCTCTGCAGAGACCCAAGCATGAGGGCCCGGGGCCCCGCTGACACAAGGGAGGCCTGGGGAGGGGAACCGAAGACCTGTTGTCGTCTCCTGCTTGAAAGCAGGGCCAGAGACAGCAACACTGACCTCCTGGAAGAGCTGCCAGGGCTGGGTTGATGACACGGCATCTGAAACTATGGACCCCCAAGCAGAGGGAGGGCTCCAGCTGTCTGCCTCCTGGGTCCCTGGGAGGGTGACGACTATGCCCCTGTCGCAAACTTTTCCCCCCTGGGAGCTGCTCATGTTCCAGGAAGAAAGAAGGATGGGGCCCTGAGCACATACCCATGGGGGCGGGGTCCTCTCACCTTTCTGACTGAGGAGGGGCTTGCAGGCCACCCTCGCCAGCCCTGCCGGTGACCCCGTCTTCTGGGTTCTCTGCTCCTCAGCTGGATCAGCCTGGCCAGACAGACAGGGCCTCGGCCACAAACTGCTCTGGCCGCCAGTGAGCCAATGGGGTCTTTGCATCCCCCTAAGGGCCCCCGTGGGACTGCAAGCCCCCATTGGGAGGGACCCTGGCTGGCTCCTGCCTCCACTCCTGGACCCGGCATCCGGCCGGACAAGAGCAGGCAAAACCCAGGGTTGCGGGAGAGGAGGGCCCAGCCCTTCCCACTGCTCCCCGTTCTGGTCCTTGTGGAAGACAGACAAACATACCCAAGGTCCCCTTTCATCCCTTGCGAAGATAAGGCACCCATCCATCCTGTGCCTGTCCCTCACTGGAGGGGGAGGGGGCCTCTTGCCCCCACTGCCGCCCCTTTGGGTCCCTGTTCCAACCCTGCCCCGCTCCCAAGAGCCACCCGCCAGCAGGCCTGCGTCACTGCCGCACCCGGCGCCATCCATCTCTGTCCTCCCGCTGGAGGCCTTCAGCCTGAGTGCTGCCCTGGGCTTCCTAGTCTGGCCCAGAGCCAGTCTGGCCTGTGACGTGATCACATCGCCCAGGGTCAGCAGGCCCAGTGAGATAAAAGGAAGGGGCTGAGGGGGCGGGGGGCAGCAGGATGGCACTGTGGGCAAAGGCCAGAGCGTGGATGGCAGGGCTGTGGCTGTCACTGCGTGGGTCATGCCCACTGGGCACCAGAGCCGCTGCAGCCCCCAAGGCAGTGCTGCCCTTCGAAGCCATGTCCTGGTGTCCCGGCAACAAGTGGATGCAGATGCTGCAGATATGGAAGGAGCAGGGCTCTGAGAACATGCACCTGGACATGCATCAGACCTTCAAGGAGCTCGGGCCCATTTGCAGGTAAAGCTGTGCCCACTCACCTCAGTGAGAACACCCTCACGTTCTGTCCTCCCTGGTGGCTGATCCCACTGGGCCAGGGCTGTGCCACATCCCACCGCCCACATCCTGGGGTGGGGGGGCACCCGGGGCTTGGGGAAGCCGCAGGGAGGGGGCTCCTTGGGGCAGGTGTGCGCCTCGGCCGCCGCAGACGGGGGCCCCTGGTGAGCAGGAGCCCTGGGCGGTTCGCTGCTGGGAGCACAGAACGCAGACCCCAGAGGAGGGGAGGCTTCAGTGAGACCGCGGGAGGGCCTGCCGGCTCTGAGCCAGCACCTGGCTCTGTGCATCGGGGCCCAGGGCAGGACACGGCCCCCCAGCAGGTCGCAGAGCTCTGCCCCACAGGTACGACGTGGGAGGGAGACACATGGTGTTCGTGATGCTGCCCGAGGACGTGGAGAGGCTGCAGCAGGCAGACAGCCGTCACCCCCAGCGGATGCTCCTGGAGCCCTGGCTGGCCTACCGACAGGCTCGCGGGCACAAGTGTGGCGTGTTCTTGCTGTGAGGGCTGGTGGGGGTGCGGAGGGAGGGCCTGGGCGGCCTGGGTGCAGAGAGCACGTGGGACGGGGAAGACCTCAAAGCGAGCCTGCCCGGGGCCCCCCTGGGTGGGTGGGGGGAGGATGCCCACTGGCTCCGGATCAGGCCCGTGCCTGGGCAACCTGTGTGCCCTGGAGCTGGGTAAGGGGACCCTTACCTGGGGGGGACCCTTACCTAGGGACCCTCCCTGCAGGGCCAGAGGAGGGAGGGTGGCGCCTGCAGAGGCTCGGAGGGGCCTGCCGGCGGGGTGCACGTCTCCCCTCCAGCAGCCCCCAGGCCCTGCCAGCAGCCCCCCACGGGCACTGGGCCCTGTGTGGGGAATACCATGAGAGGCACGAGGGGCAGGGGCTGTGCGGGGAGGGGAGGGGGCAGGCAGCATGGCAGAGGCCTTGCCCACTCTGGAGCGGTGAGAGGAAGCTGGGCCAGCTCCCAGGGGCTCGGCCTCCTTCCTCACAGAAGAAGCGTCCAGGCCTGGAGGGGGCCCGGAGGGGAGGTGTGTGTTGCAGGCCTGCCATTCTGCAGACACCCCGGCAGCAGGGTCAGCCACAGGCCCCCATCTCAACCTGGATGAAGTACACAGCACTGCCCCAAGGAAAGAGGTGCCGCCATGGTCCCAACGGGGTCCGCCTGCCCCTGAGGACCAGCAGGCAGCACCTTGTCTGGCCCGTTTCATCCTGGAGAGAGGAAGGTGGGGTGCAGGACGGGGTCACTGCTGACTGACACCCTGACGCTCTGCTACCTGCTCTACAGCAATGGGCCCCAGTGGCGTTTGGACCGACTGCGGCTGAACCCAGACGTGCTCTCGCTGCCAGCCCTGCAGAAGTACACGCCCTTGGTGGATGGCGTGGCCAGGGACTTCTCCCAGACCCTGAAGGCGCGGGTGCTGCAGAATGCTCGGGGGAGCCTGACCCTGGACATCGCGCCCAGCGTCTTCCGCTACACCATCGAAGGTGTGGGCTGGCGAGGGGGGCATACCTCAGGGTGGGGTGGCAGCTGGCCCTGAGGCCTGGGCTACCCGGGGCTCAGGAACCCCTCCTCCCGCAGCCAGCACCTTAGTCCTTTATGGAGAGCGGCTTGGCCTTTTGACCCAGCAACCAAACCCTGACAGCCTGAACTTTATCCACGCGCTGGAGGCCATGTTCAAGTCCACCGTGCAGCTCATGTTTGTGCCCAGGCGCCTGTCACGGTGGACGAGCACCAACATGTGGAGGGAGCATTTCGAGGCCTGGGACTACATCTTCCAGTATGGTGAGGGCTGAAGACCGGGCAGTGTGGTGACTGGGGGCCCCGGGTGTCCCCACTCACCACAGTCGGGGAAGGACTGAGGTCCTGGGAGGGGCTTGTGGCTTCGTCATGGTCCCAGACACCACTGGCAATGATGCTGGCCTGGGCGGGCCTGAGAACTGGGGGCAGGACATGGAGACTTGGGGGCATGGAGGGTAAAGGGCAGGAGGATGACAAAGAACAGTGCTTCCCAGTGCCAGACCCAGGGCTTCTGTTGCTGTGCATCCTGCAGCCAACAGAGCCATCCAGAGGATCTATCAGGAGCTGGCCCTCGGCCACCCGTGGCACTACAGCGGCATTGTGGCAGAGCTGCTGATGCGAGCAGACATGACCCTGGATACCATCAAGGCCAACACGATTGATCTCACTGCTGGGAGTGTGGACACGGTCAGGCCAGCACCCAGCCCTTCCCATAGAGCAGGGAGCTCTCCTGCCACCAGGTAGCCTCCTCCCACGGCAAATGTCTCCTCCATGCCCCTTCCCAATCTATGCCTCCAGCTTCCCAAAGGAAAGGCATCTGTGGTGACCCAGGGAAACCAGGCTCCAGACAGGGTGTAGAGTGGCCGGAGGCCTGGGTACCTGCAGCATCAGAGGTCCCTGGGGTCCGGCTGCAGGGTCACATTAGAGACCTTTTCCAGGGACAGAGATGATCGTTTGGAGGTGACAGGCTAATGGGAAGGGCAGCAAGGGGCCCCAGAGTGTGGGGGAGAGAGCAGGTGGCAGGGAAGCCAGCCCAGGGAGCGGGCCGGGCCCAGAGTGTGCAGTGCAGCCAAAGCATCGTGCGTCTAGACCAAGCCTCCCTCTGCCAGCGTCTCTGAGGGCCAGGCACCCAGGCCCTGAGCAGAGGTGCGGGCTCATGGTGGAGACACTCCCTGAGCCGGGACTGTGATGCAGCCATAAGGTGAGAGAGGGTGAGCCAGGCATGTGCCTGCTCTAGGAAGACTTCCTGGAGAAGGAGGGCTTTCACTGAGATTGCAGGGACCACACAGAAGAGGAGGCCTGGAGGGCAGCAGGCCAAGTCCTGCAAGAGTGGACAGTGAGGAAAGGCCATGAGGCTGAGTGGAGGGAAACAGGGCAAGTGGGCAGAGGAGGGCAGACAGGGTCAGGGCCTCTGTTAGGAAGGGCCTTGCACACCCAGCCTGTATCCCAGGCTAGAGGAAGCCAGTGTGGGGAGTGTCTCGCTCAGCCAACCGGTCACTCATGGGCCACAGGGCAGAGTGCAGCACGGACTACAGTTCAGGAAGCCACAGGGAGGCTGGATCCGCACGGCAGGGGATGCCAGGGGTAGGTTACTTTGGGGATGTCGTTTAGGATATACCGAACTGCTCAGGTCTCCGGCTGGATAGCAGGCACCGCTCTTTGCACATGGAAGTGATCCAGGAGGAGGAAACAGTTGGGAGTCTGGGCTGCCGGTTCCTGCTGGGACGCTGTGAACGGACCCGCCTGTGGATGCCCAGATGGACCTCAGCTCCTCAACTCTCCCCACTGAGTAGATGTCAAGAGTGAGCCCCTCCTGGACCCAGAGGAGGAAGAAAACCTCAGGTTCTGAGGTGGCTAGAGGAGGCCTGGGTCTCAGTGACGTTGGGGATGCCTCCCCTGAGGGATTCAGGGAAAGCTGATGAGGTGGTTTTAGAATCTCCAGGACTCGAGGCTCTGGGCTTTGTGGTCTCTGAGTGTGCAGGTCCCCTGCCCCACCATCTTTCTGGGAGGGGCTTAGGAGTGGAGGGGCACAGCCTATGCCGAGGTCTGAGCCCCGGCCCTCTGTGCCCCCTGCAGACAGCCTTCCCCTTGCTGATGACTCTCTTTGAACTGGCTCGGAACCCGGAGGTGCAGCAGGCCCTGCGCCAGGAGAGCCTGGTGGCCGAGGCCCGGATCTCAGAAAATCCCCAGAGGGTCACCACGGAGCTGCCTTTGCTGCGGGCAGCCCTCAAGGAGACCTTGAGGTGGGCGAGGTGGACCTGGACTGCCCAGTGGCCCTGGCCCCGTGACTGTGGAGCCCTTTTGCTGGGCCTGACAGCTGCTTTGCCCAGGGGTGCATCCCCCTGTACCTCCTCTTCTTCTCCCTGGAGGGAGGTCGGTGCTGCTTCCTCTGGGATCCCACCTCAGTGTCCCGGGGCACTCGTCAGTCGTGTCCTCGCTGGCCTGGGGAGCTCTGGCTAACTTGAGAGGTGCAAGGAAGGAGCACCTCAGGATCTGGGCTTCCCTGTGCCAGGAGCGACCTGTGAGGGCCCCAGGGGGCTGCCCTCAGGCTGTGTGCACTGGGCTAGGAAGGCTGCAGACAGTGTCTGGAGCCTGGTCACAGCTGAGGACCCTGCTGGATGCCTCTGTGTGCAGGCTCTACCCCGTGGGTATCACCTTGGAGCGGCAAGTGAGCTCGGACCTGGTGCTGCAGAACTACCACATCCCGGCCGGGGTGAGTGAGGCCCTGGAGCCCCGCCGACCTTCACCCAGGGGCCAGCTGACATCAGCCCTTTCCCGCTGCCTACAGACGCTGGTGAAGGTCCTACTCTATTCCCTGGGTCGAAACCCCGCCGTGTTCGCCAGGCCCGAGAGCTATCACCCCCAGCGCTGGTTGGACTGCCGGGGCTCTGGAAGCAGGTTCCCACACCTGGCCTTTGGCTTTGGCATGCGCCAGTGCCTGGGGCGGCGAGTGGCCGAGGTGGAGATGCTGCTTCTGCTGCACCATGTGAGTGGGCCTCGAGGGGCATGGGTGGGCAGCCTGGCCAGGGACCCCTGGCTTTGTCCTGGGGCGCCCAGCCTCAGGGCCCTGGAAGGCAGGGCAGGCTGGGCCAGGTGGAACCCTGCCTCTGTCCTAGGTGCTGAAGAACTTCCTGGTGGAGACACTAGTGCAAGAGGACATAAAGATGGTCTACCGCTTCATACTGATGCCCTCTACCCTCCCCCTCTTCACCTTCCGGGCCATCCAGTAGCCCTGTCACCACACTGGTCGGGCCACTCACGCTACAAGCCCCTTTGCCGGACCCCAGCCACCCCTCTTTTCTCCTGTGGGCCCTGCCTTTAGAGTCCCAGCACCGTGCAGCCAGCACTGTGCACACATGTAGCAGCACAGGCCCCGCGGGTCAGGCGTGCTGGCCTGCGCAGCAAGGCCGGGGCGGAGCTGGGGGTGAACCCCCCAGCCCACGCCCAGTCCCGCCAGTGCCTTCTCCAGCAAGGGGCGCCGTCTGAGGGCCTTTGACCCCAGTCACCCCAGCATAAGCCCCAGGCCCCTTGTGTGGCCATGCCAGCGACGGGCCTCAGACCACACCCTCTGCCTCCCTGTCCAGCCTTTGTACCGCCTGTGCTAAACTCTGCTCCCATGCAAGAGCTGACAACTTGGGCATGCTCTGTCCTTATGGTTGCCATTTCAAGTGCCGTCCCCTGGGCCTCCAGTGCTCTGGCATGGACTTGCCTTCAAGCTGGTTTGTTGTCTGTCTATCTAGCCTCTTGGGCTCACCCTGGCAGTGCCAATCCTCTGCAATTGTGGCTGAAGTGCCCAACCCAGGCCTGGACAGGCAGGTCGGGAGTCAGGTTTCCTAGAAGAGACGCTGCCAAAAGCCAACCTGGACATCAGGGCCAATGATACTCATTTGAGAGCAGGAGGGATGGTGAACCCCTCTGGCACAAGGCAGGCCGACCATAGAGAAGCCTCTAGAAGAAGGGTGTGGGGCCACCTCGAACAACTTCAGTAGAGACAGTCTGAAGTGCCCACTATCCTCTCACAGTGAACCACAGCAGAGGGAGGGACCACCCTGATTTCAAGGCTGGAAGAGGCTTTGAACCACTGAGAGCCAACTGGGATCCCCTCGTTGTCAGGAACAAGCAGTCTGTCCCATCCCACCTAGAGCCAGGTGACACCCCAGGTAGAAAGTGGGCCCAGAGTCAGGATGAGGGGCGGTGGGGTCTCTCCACTCTCCCGCCCTCCCCACCCCAACTTCATCTGCTGAGGAGCAGGCAGGCCGAGCGAGGCAGCAAGGTGGGAGAAGTGTTTCTGGCTGCACCAGCCCTGCCCCTACTGAGGGGTAGGGGATCTCTCCACTCCCCCTGCCCCCAGTGAACCACCCCCCAGGGCATCTGTTCGGTGCCAAGATCCCTGGAGGAGGACAAGAGCTGCACACCTCGTCACCAATCCAGTCTATCCTCAGCGAAAGAGGCCTGCGGCCGCCAGTGTGATCTTCTCCCACCCCAGACAGGACTGTTGAAAGGGACCCAGAGATTCATGGAGGAGGGAGGAGGTTCCAGAGTCTGTAGTCACACAGGCACAAGCTGGAGCCCTCGCCCAGCACACAGGCCCAGCCTTCATTCCCTCTGAGCCCTGAGTTCTTCTTATGGGAATTCTGTAGAATTACCATTTCGCCAGGCCCACTGAGGCACGGTGAGATGGGTTTTCGGGAAGTGCCCAGTTTTCTGGCTCAGCTAGCACTCAGCCTGTGTGATCCTTTCCCAGTGCTCAGTGCCCTGCTCTGCAGTGGGTGGAGAAAGTGTGATGACAGGAATAGAATGAAAACCTAGTCCCCTTGTGAATTCATGTCATTCTGCCGAGCTTGGCACACATGGATGCTTGATCCATGTGCTTGATCCTCTTAGGCAGCCCTAAGAGGCACGTGCTACGCTCATTCCCATTTTGCAGGTGAGAAAACTGAGGCTTAGAGAATTCACTCATCTGGCAGAGTCTCATGGCGCTTCCACGGAAGGGGTACTGCTTGAAGCCATGAGGACCGTCCGATCTCTAAGGCCCTCATTAAGGAACCGTGGTTTGGTAGTGCTCACGAATGTTGTGGAGACAAACTCCAGCTAAGCATCTCTGTCTGCTTTCCAGATCCTCTCCTGGATTTCCCTGTTTCTCCAGATTTCCTCTTTCAAGTCTATGGAGGGGTCCCTTTTCCTTTATCCAGCTTGGAATTTCCAGTGTCTTCCAGTGTGAGGCTCTGTCCGGCTCTTTCTGACAACCTGCCTGGTTATTACTGCCTCGACAGTCTTCCGTGTGATCCTCATGATTCCCACGCCTCTGCGTGTCTTTCACTGTAGCAGTGGTAGTGCCTTTAAGAAGCCCGATGCCAAGAACTGGAACGCCCTCTATGTTCCCTGTGCCACCGAGGTCTGGTTTGAGGCCGTGTCATCTCTTGCCCAGGGGCTGTCGCTTTCCTAGAGCCACTCTGTGTTCATTGCCCAGCCTCAGGTCGCCTCTGGGGCGTGAGTAGTGTAAATCCTAGACCACCCTGAGGGCATTGTCTCGGTTCTCGGGAGGGAACGGGGATTCGGGGGTTCGTCCTCATTCCACCTTGGAAAGCTCAGCTCGCTGCTCAACGCCTGACAGTGCTGAGGGCAGTTTGCAGTGTTAGTGTAGTGTTTTCAAGGTCTCGCCTCCACATGGGGCTCTGTGACAGCCTAGAGAGGAGGGAAAGGGGGTGGTCAAGAGGGAGGGAACCATGTATACCTGTGGCTGATTCATGCTGAGGTCTGGCAGAAGCCAGCACAACAGTGGAAAGCAATTGTCCTCCAATTAAAAATAAATACATTGAAAACTACATGCAGCTGACCGGTATTTCAAGTTCAGCCTTCTTTTAAAAGCCTTGCCTCTCCGCGGGGTTCCAGTTGCAATGTCTAATCTTACTTTTGTCCTGTGCTTCGTCTTTCCCTGGGAACTGGGGCCAGCAGACCATCAGGCTCGGTGGCTTGGACCCAAGCCTCCCCTGGAGGCGCTGTACTGGCTTCCGTGCTCCCTCCTCCTGGTCCCGCGTTGGTTGCTTCCGGGTCCTGAAGACATCCTGAACTTTTACAAGCACAGAAATGCACTTTCTACGTGTTCTGGATTGTGTAGAGTTTCTGGAGTTGGGGGATTTTCAGAGTATTAGCTCGGGAACCTTGCTCGAACCCGAGGACCCTCAGTGGCTCATTTAAGCAGACAGTTGGTGTCTGGAAGCTTTCTGTCTGTGGCTGTCCTGGGGGATGACCGAACATCCCACAACTGTCAAGTCTCCACAAAATGTTCCTCAGCTTTCTTGCGGGAGGAGTTGCCTACCTTGCAAGAGGGGTCTTAGGTGCTGGTAGAACCCCGGACACCAGTCGGATTGCGGGCCAGTTTCAAATGACTAAGTATCCACTTTCATTGATCACTTAACACGTGCTTATTGGGTCTTTTTATGTGTCAGGCACTGTGCCATACATTATTGAGAAGGATGGTATTTGACCTCAGTGGGATTATATCCTATGGGTCCCTACTATAGAAAGGGGTATTTATTTCAATCTTTTTCATAATGTGAAAAACGTATGCAACACAATTCTCTTTCAAGAGAAGGATTGTTCTCTTTTGGTGCGTCTCTTCATGAGAACCCTAGCCACCTGTGAAATGAAAAAGTGAGGTACATATATAAGCAGTTGTATAGGGTGATGCTCACCAGGCAAGGCACAGAGTTCTACCAGTATCTGGATGGGCCCCCACGTTGTTGCAGATACACCTGCAGCCCCACACAGACATGCAACTGTAGTGGAAACCTGTATCCTACTGTATTTTAGGCAGTACATTAACAGTGAAGAGAAACAGTGAAAAGCCTTTGGAAATCAAAGACAGATGTCCAATAGATTTGTCATGACCACACTATTATGGCAGGAAACAATAGAACAGAATACTTGAGGTGTTTTGGGAAAATGGCCATCAATATAGGATTTCAATCTGCTCCGTGTCCACTCAAAGACAGCAGCTAAGTGAAACATTTTCAAAGAAACCACGAGTGACAAAAGCAGACCTTCACTGAAAGAGCTCCCCAGGATTTGCTTCTAGAGGAGGAACTTGGACCCAAGAGAGATGAGGGATTTGAGGTGGGAGTGTGAGCAAGAAGCTGGTACAATCATGTGACTACGTTGGCATCAGCACTGCTTGTGGGCAGGCCCCTTTGCACAGGTCCTGCGAGGGGCAGGGATGTGAGCCCTGTCCTCTCAGGACTTAGCACTGAAATATTTGGGACATTCCCAAGACAGCTCCCTGCAGTAATGTGTATTCTTCCTCAGCTCTCAGAACCAGCCCCTCTGAACACTCAGCACGTGCCACAGCCCTTTTATACCCAGTATCAGGTACTCCTGGACCACGTTGGATGCCTGCAAGTATGGCCCTGCCTCCTTGCAGCCACATGCTTCACTGCTGGGAAGACTCTGGCGCCTGAGTCTCCCTTTCAGCAATGAGCTTGGAAAAGCAGTGGGACTCCTTCAGGTGCTCTGGATTTCCCTTACTCTGCAGGGACAAGGAAAAACAGCAGCATAGTCTTGGTAGTATGGAAATAGCACATCAGCTGCTAGCAGTTGGGGGCGCTTCCCTGGATCCTGCTCTGTATTTTGTATCAGTCCCATTCAGCCACGGCTGTGAGTGAGGCTCTGTCGCCATCCCAGCTTGTCCATCAGCAAAGGGGAGCCCAGCAAACGAGGGTCTTTGTCCGAGGATTCAGGCTACTGCACGAGACAGAGGGGATTGGAACCCTCGTCCCTGGGACCATAGGGCCTGAGCTCCGCCCAGGCTTGCCCACAGTGCCAAGCAGGAGAGAGGCTTCCTGTGTGTGGAGCGTCAGAGGTCAGGGAGCATGAGGAACAGTTCCCGGGAAGTTGTCCCAGGAAGACAGACTGAAGGACTCTAGGCCTCAGCTGGGACCAAATTTGGAATTTGGTGAATCTAGAGGCTGAGTCTAGCATCCTATCTGTGCCTCAGTGGCTGAAAAAGAGGCATCCAGGCTTCCCACGTCCCAGCAAAGAGGGTTCTGACCACACAATTACACTTCTCCCTGAAGGCTGGCAGCACCCCACGCACATGCACAAGGAGAACCCTGACACTGCCCACACCATGCTCAGGGGTGCTGTGCTGGGAGGATGTGCAGGGATCACTGGTAGCAAAGTCTCAAGCAACAGAGATGGCCACTGGCCTCAGCGCCTCCATCCCTGGAACCCTTTGGGTGCACCTGCAGCTTCTCATACTGGGTGGAGGCTCCAGGTGGCCCTCGTCACGGGTCTGGAGCTCAGGGGTACAACATTCACAGCCCTCCTCCTTCCAACACCTGCCCATGGCCATCACCTTGAATCCTCCCTTTCAGGCCTCACCCCTCAGGCCTCCTTCCCCTGAGATCTGGGACAGCAGCCAGCACTGAAGCCCAGATCTTCCTGGAAAGTGAGTGCTCACACCCCGCAGGATACAGGGCAGCACGCCTCACCCAACACAAGCCCCTGCAACCCTGACCAAAATGCTTCATGGCAGATACCATCAGGTTGAAGACACAGCTGTGGGCAGGACTGATCTGGTCTCTGCTGAGGTGGTGCACCTGGCTGGGGCTTGCCTAGTCACCATGGAAGTGAAAGGTTGTTGCTGAACGATAAGATGCCAGGATTCTTGGCCTCCGGAGGAGATGAATTCAATCCGGGGCCAGAGATGAGGCTGGATCGCTCAGAGCTTTTGTGTAATAAAGTTTTATTAAAGTATAAAGGAGATAGAGAAAGCTTCTGACATAGGCAAGTTTTATTAAAGTATAAAGGAGATAGAGAAAGCTTCTGACATAGGCATCAGAAGGGGGCAAAAGAGTACCCGCCTCCTAGTCTTTAGCTGTAAGTTATATAGTCACTCACAGTCTGTTAATGAAAAGAAAGGAATGTCTTAGAATTTAGAATGGCACCAGATAATTTATCCCTGGCCATAAAATGATTGACTTGAATCTTGTAGAAGGGCAGATTACCAACAAATAGTTTTGTTTACATAGATCAGGGAACAATATCTGAATAAGTAGGTTAGGCTGTTTGGCGGAACCAACTTGAAGATAGAGTCTGGGGTACATTAACATAGCTTAAGACAACATTTCCATAAGAAAAAGAAATGTATTGGTTAACTCAAGGTTTGAGAGTAGTTAGCTTCAGGTGAAACCAGGTGTCATGGCAACACAGCATTTTAAGAGAAACCTCCTTTTAAATTTGTATAGAGAAGAAATAATATCGCTGGTTTGTGTCCTCCTGCCGCTTAAGAGAGATAAAAATGTCTGGCACTTGCAGCCTATTTCCTCCGTTTGGAGACCCATAGCCTTCCTGCCTGTTACCCTCTCAGAAGATTCCAGAAGGACCCAGGCTGATCTCTGTGGCAGGAGGGAAAGACACTCATGAATCAGCAGCCCTCCACTGGGGGAGCAGTGAACCCTAATCACAGGGAGCCAGGTGAGCACAAGGGGCCCTGGTGTTCGAGAACAGTCCAGACCAGGCACTGGCCTTGGTCCAGATGGACAGGGTGTCCTCACAGTTCCCCACAAAGTGACCTCCCCATCTTGGGACGCAGAAGTGCCTGTCCTCACTGAGGCACTGGCAGGGCATGGCAGATGAGGTGACTTGGACACCCTCTGGGGACCTCAGCCTTGTGGCCACCACTCTGTCTGCCTTGGAGTAGGTTTCAAGGAGGGCCAATGCACCCTTTTAGAGACTGGTGACCTGACGCCCACCTGGCTTTGATATGGAGCTCAGAATCCAGTGCAGCCAAGAGACTCAAACTACTAACAAAGAAATGTGCCTCTCATCGTCCCCTGCCCCACCCCACCACCACCTCCTGCAAAGCATGTGATGCTAGTGGCTCCCCTAGCCAAAGGATATCTTCTGACCTACTTCCTGATAAACAAATAGCGTGTGCTGTGTGCCACAGACACCTCTGAGCGCTTTGCAGACCCTGACTCCTGTCTTCCCTTCAACCCCACTGCTCTCCACTTGATGGGAGCAGCTGGGGCCTGCAGTCATGCAACTTGCCAGGGCTGCACAGGCAGTAATCAATCATATTTCTCTCCACTTGTAGTGACAAATTTGAACATAAAGAAATCTATTCCATCTACAAGAGTGTCACACGAGTGAAACACGGAGGAATTAGTTAAGCAACAGATGTTGAAGATCTGTACTCAGAAAACCACAAAGGGCCACTGAAGAAATGAAAGGAGATATTTAGAGTTTTAAAGCATTCTGCATCCATGGATCAGAAGAGGTAGATCACTACAATGACAATATTCCTCATGTCAGTCTCTAGATTTGATGTAATCTCTATGAAATTCTGGCTGCTTCTTTGTAAAAAGTGCCAAGTTGATTCTAAAATTCACATGGAAAGGCAGGGACCTAGATAGTCAGTGTATTCTTTTAAAAAACGACATGGTAGAAGGTCTCATGTTTGTCGATTTCTTTTTTTTTTCCCCCTAAGCTTACTGCAAAGCTATATTGTTCAAGATAGGATGGTACTGGCACAAGGACAGACAGATAAACCAATGGGCTGAGAGTCCAGAAATGAAATGATACATCTGTGGTCACTTGATTTTTTACAAAGGTGCCAAGACCCTCCAAAATGGAGCATTTATTTTTCAAGGAATGTTGTTTAGACAACTTTATAGCCACTTGGGAAAAAATGAAATTGGGCCTTTACCTCACCCAGACCATATGCAAAAACCAACTCAAATTCTCCAGAGATTTAATCATAAGCATTAAAACTGTAAAAACCTTAGAAGAATACATAAAAATTATTCTTCATAATCCTG